TTTCGGTGGCCCTCCCCCCATTTTTCCAGTCCATGTCTCTTTCTCCCTCCGTAAATTCCCGATTAAAGTACGCACCCCCGATTTGGGGCTGGTGGGAGACAAATATCCCGTCTGAACGTAAAATGGAAAAACTCCAATTAAGTACGCACCCCTTCTACGCACGGCCGGTACCACAGTGAACATGTAGTATATGACAGTTCGTCGTTCCAAACAAATTTAAAATTGTTAAAAACTAGATTTATGCCGTGTACTACGTGATGGTATGGTAACGTAGCGGGAAACGTTTCAAGTTCGTTTTGTTTTTCACCGCCGGCCGCAGCCGACTTGCAAGACGTCACCACTGCATCGAAAGGTAAGGCAAGTGCGGCGAAACGCACAGATTTGGATCCAGCTTTGGAGTGTTGGTGTCTTGGTGATCAAGCAAGCATGGTCAATAACGATTCGTGAAAAAAAGACAATATTTCAATATCGATTTTATCGGTAACGAGGGGGGGGGGATACTTGAATGCTGATGCACAAGTACGTAGCTTTAATGTTTTTAATACGAAATGCGCCGAACACTTCTTTAATAGCGCCCGCGCGATTGACCCATGGAGAGCAACAATCATACAGGCGGAGAACTGGGCGGAGTATTTGGGTGTTGAGGTGCTACCGAATTAAAAATTTGACACCGAAATCAATTAACACAACAACAATAGACTACTGGGATCAATGGGACTTTCGATTCCGAACAGGAGAAAGTGACAAGTTTGACTGCGTTTCAAGTAATCTCTCGTTATGTGATAGATGTTTTTGTCACAAAATCAAAGGAATAAACACTATTAATTTGTACTCCGTAAAACTTATAAGTACAGTCTGTTCAGAGGAAAGAAAGACTTCCTTCTCGGGGTCCATGTTCTGGAAAGCTGTCCTCAGCGCTGCGCATGCCACGGCCCTCTCTGTGTTCTTCAGCTGTAGGTGTACTTTGCCTGTCGGCGCGCCAAACACCCCACCCACCGGCCGGGCGGTAAGATTTCATCAAAGGCTACATTTTAAGTTAACTCCACCCCTATCATTGTAGCTTGCCGAACAGTCGAGTAGGAGTACATCTAGCTGGAATTTTCACGTCGTACTGGCTGGTGTAGCCCGCTACAAAGTAATTTCCTGTGGCATTTATCAAGATTTAAAAATATTTGTGATACGAAGTGAAACATGGTTAACAATTTCTGAACCTTTGAAACGACGTGGGCATAATCTTTGTTGAAGATTCCTGAGTTGAACTCAAGCCGGAAGTGTATTGGAAATGATGGCCATCAGTCGAGGCACAACTGTTATGTTATCACATGTTACGTTACGACGATCAAGAACGTTCATGGCTTGCGGACCATTTCAAATATTACCACTCATAAACCCTACAATTGTATGTGTACTTATATTTTTGCCGGGGTTCCACTGAGATCGGCGCCGGCTAGCTGGGGAACGATCCTGTCGGCATGACAAAGCGCCGGGCGTCATTGCCAGAGACCTACATTTTCTTACCGTGGGTGACTTGACTTCTTCTTTTACCGCAACTTGGTGTCAATATCGACGATAGTCACAGAAAATATGTTCATTTATTGAAGTTTAACTTTATTTCCACTCGTCAACATTTTTATCAAAACATGCTATGGACGATCGATGTTCCAAGCTCCCCGTGCCGGTGTTCCGCTATATTCCTGGGTCGTCCACGGATTGTCGGCGGAAAACTCAAATAAAGTACGCACCGCGACTTTGGCAACGGCCCGAGACACTTCAGGGATTTTGAAAAATGTAAAAAGTGCGTACTATATTCGGGAATTTACGGCGTATTTCTTGTAATTCGGTACAACGCGACGCCATATTTTACAAAAGTTTTTCGGTGGCCCTCCCCCCCAGGCCGATTTTTTTTTCGATGGCCCTCCCCGCTCAAATTTTTCTCCATGGCCCTCCCCCCACGGCCCAAAATATTTTTCAATGGCCCTCACCCCCAGTGCACCAGCCCCTCCCCCCCCGGTAAATATCGTACAGTCCCTTACCGGATGACA